AGTACCCAATGGGGGAGGTTGAGAACAGAAACGGGGTAAGATACTAAATGCAGATTTTGTTCAGAGCAGCACTTTTTCTTCTTTTTTTTGAGATGGAGTCTTGCCCTGTCACCCAGGCTGGAGTGCAATGGCGCAATCTTGGCTCACTGCATCCTCCACCTCTTGGGTTCAAGCAATTCTCCTGCCTCAGCCTCCTGAATAGATGGGATTATAGGCATCCACCACCAGACCTGGCTAATTTTTTGTATTTTTAGTAGAGACAGGGCTTCCTCATGTTGGCCAGGCTGGTTTTGAACTCCTGACATCATGATCCGCTCGCCTTGGCATCCCAAAGTGCTGGAATTACAGGCCTAAGCCACCGCGCCCAGCCCCAGAGCAGCACTGTTACTTTAGAGCACCCTCACCTAGAACAGCATCTCTTCTCAGTCTTTCTTCTATAAACTAGATCCCATCAACCTTAGGCTTTCTGTCCTTTTCCAACTTTCTCTTTTTGGCTTTATATGAGAAGAGAGTAGCTTAAAAAAAATTTTTTTTTGACAGTCTCACTCTGTTGCTCAGGCTAGAGTGCAGTGGCATGGTCTCAGCTCACTACAACCTCTGCCTCCCAGCCTTGGTTCAAGTAATTCTCAATTCTCATGTCTCTGCCTCCTGAGTATCCAGGGTTACAGGATTACAGGCATGCACCATCATGCCTGGCTAATTTCTTGTATTTTTAGTAGAGATGGGGTCTTGCCATGTTGCCCAGGCTGGTCTCAAACTCCTGGCCTCAAGTGATCTGTCCACCTTGGCCTCCCAAAGTGCTGGGATTACAGGTGTCAGCCACTGTGCCCATCCTCAGAGTAGCTTTTCTGGTGATGTCCACCACCACAGGTCCCCTTTGAGAATCTTTACCAGCTCCACAACCAGAATTCTTAATGGCTCTCTACTTCCTTAACAATATAGTGTAGTGATTAAAAATTGACTAACGGCATAGGTTCAGTTTCCGGCTCTGCCATTTGTTAACTGTGTGACTGAAGGCAAGTTTCCTTCTATGGGATAACAATACCACCTTCCTTAGAGAGACATGAGAATTAAATCGGTATTTTAAAAGTGCTTAAAACAGGCCGGGCATGGTGGCTCACGCCAGCACTTGGGTAGGCCGAGACAGGTGGATCATGAAGGCAGGAGTTGGAGACCAGCCTGGCCAACATAGTTAAACCCCGTCTCTACTAAAAATACAAAATCAGCCATGTGTGGTGGCATGTGCGTGTAGTCCTAGCTACTCGGAAGGCTGAGGCTGGAGAATCACTTGAACCTGGGAGGCAGAGGTTGCAGTGAGCTGAGACTACACCACTGCACCCCAACTTGGGTGTCAGAGTGAGACCCCGTCTCAAACAACAACAGCAACAACAAAGCATTGAAAACATTGCCTGGCAGATTTTAAGCTCCAGTAAGTGTTAGCTATTAACCAAATTTAAGCCCCTTGCCCCCTTTTTAAGGCACTTTATAATCTGGCCTCTGCCCATCTAACCTTCTGTCCCATTACTCCTTGTCTGCTGCGTTTGAGTTTTGCTGATTTCCTCAAGGAATCATGAATCTATGCCTAACTCCAGATGGTTTTCGTTGCCTGGAAGATCCCATCTTCTCTGTCACCTTTTATTATTATTATTACTTTAGTTCTCATCTACCATCTTCCCATCTGAACGCACCATACCGTAGGATTTAGTGAATAATTACACACGCATCACTCTTTCAAGTGAATTGGTTTTGTCTCTCCAATAGCCTATAAACTCCCTGAGATAGAAACAGTAACTGGTAACTTCCAAGCCCTCTTTCAATGGAGTGAACACATTGCATTTATTCCATTTCAAGCATCTGTAAAGAGATTCTACATAGGCAACAGAGGACCATGTGAAGAATTCGTAGCTTTAATAATAGATTAGTTAGGGGGTAGGGATGATACTTCTGTCCTGCCTGTGCCATTCTTCAAAAGCAGAGACTCCCTTCACCAAAGTTCTAGACAACACCCACTTAATTTCTGAACCAAGAAAGCAGAACATACCTTACCCACATATATTCATCAAATAGACTTCTTTCCCTAATTATTTCTTTTTTGAGTTTCTTGTGGATAATGATCATGTCTTCTGCTTTCAGCTCTTGCCTCTGAAAACTCTCAGCCCTTAAATCTTTACTGATAGTTAAACTTCCATGACATCTAAGCTTAAAAGGATGATATCTGCAGTAAATGGCTTAGAACAATTTACTATAAATGAGGCTGGAAAAATTAGTGAAGAACCCCACAGAGGTCTGGAATGCAGAAACCTTGCCCAGAATCCTTACTCTGTGATCATTTCAACCCTGGACTGCAGCCTCATCTGACTGGATAATATCATTGTTTCATGGATAATATCAAGCAGGGTCTCCTACGCCCTGCTTCCTTTAATGATTCTTTACATTCTTCTCTGCCAGTCTCTATCCCCAAGTCATTTCCAAACTAGTAATAGGACTGATGGCCTCTTTATTGAATGCAAAGCCACAGAACAAGGAGCCCAGAAAGGAGTGGGGCTAGGAGGGTGGCCGAGGAAAGAGGAACCCCAGCATCTGAGGGGAAGAGATGCAGCTTCTCTAAGTCTGGCAGGAAGGCTCGGGCGTCCTCCAGCGCTGCCTGAGCTGCCACGGTAAAGTTGGGATCCCCAGAAATTAAAACATCAAAGACACAGGAATGGAAGTACGCGTCTTCCACTGGAAGCCCTTCCTTGCACAGCCGTCTGGCAGTATCAGTGGTTATAGCTCCCCGACGATTGCGCTCTGATCGAGAGAGTCGCTGACTTGGAGGGCACCCCCCAACACAGAGCTGCAGGTCCTGTTCAGCTGAGAAGGCCGTGGCCACATCCTCTGCTACCTTGATGGAGAAGGAGAGCTGCCCAGCTGTCTGCCGAATGATTATAGTTGTGCCAATATAGGCAGCTTGGATCTCCACGTGGTTCCCAGGGTTAGCAGTTTGAATCGACAAACTGGATCCCCCAGGTCGGTCACCTCCATTGATAGAACCGTCTTCAAAGGCTGCAGGAAGATTATCCACCTCTGCCTGGTAGACCTTTTGATCAATGCATTCCTGCATGTTCTTGAATATGATGGTGAGCTGTGAGGGCAAGAGGGAAAACAGTTCATTTGGGTTCAGTGCATCTTCCGCCCAGTCAGACCTCATGCACAGTTAGGGATCTGATCCAGGTAGAGATGCAGGACTACTATGGCCCTCAGTCTTTGATCCCTTTTCCTATTTATGTTCCAGTATTGCCTGATCCCTACTTAACCTCTCTCCACTTAATCTGGGCAACTTCCTAGGAGAGGGTAAAGTTTCCCTTCTGAAACTCCTCGGGTCTGCGCTCTCCGACTGTTTTCTGCATTTGAGTGAAATTCCCATCAAGGGGAAATGATTTACAGCTCCAAGTGTTTGGTAGAAGGGAATGGTTCAAGATGGGGGAGTGGTTGAGGAAGAAAAGGGAATTAGGGAGCACCGCTGTTGAATAGTGGGGATGGGGAGGAAGCGGTGCCCCACGAAGAATCTCAGGAGGTGGAGCAAAGGGAAGAGTGAGTGCCTGACCTTCCTGATGGCGGTGGCGTTGGCCCCCAGCGCCACGGGGGAGCTGGTGGCTTGGACAAAGAGGAAGTCGTTATCCAGTAGAGGCCAAGCTCCTTGGACACGGCATGTGTGAAAGTGGTGGTGGAAGCTGCGCACATGGGGGTCCCCGAAGGAAGCACAGTGCAAGAACCCCGGGGGACGACCGTGCAGCCGGGAAAACCGGCCTTCGTAGTCACAGGGGTCCGGGGCGGGGAGGCCGGGGCCGACGCCTGGAAGGGCGGGGCCCCGCGGCGGGGGAGGGGCGGTAGGGCCCTGGCGCGAGCAGTTGTGCTGGATCATCAGGTCTTCGATGCCGTGTACCGCCGAGTGGAAGGCGAGGTCCCCGCGGCAGGTGCGGGCGGTGCGCCGAGTGCAGAGCGCGTAGGAGCGGAGGGCTCGACAGAGGCCGCCAGAGCCCACCCCTCCACCCCGGCCTCCTCCTCCTGATGCACCCCCGCCTCTAAGGCTCAGAGTGGACGACACATACTCAGCATTGCATCGGAGGATCTTGCATTGAGAGTGGGCTAAAGACAGAAGGGAGAGGATTGTGAGACGGTCCTCAGACCTCTGCTCTTTTGGAGTGTGGTTTGCTCATAACTCTTCCAAATCTCATCAGGGAATTCCAGCCTTCCTAAAACCCAACTAAGGGCCTTCCCCAGCCCCCAACCCCCAATCCCTAGTTCTCTCGGCTATCTTACTAAAAATGTGTACGAAGAAAAGGGAATCTCTTCTGCCTGTCGACCAAGGGCTTCCCCAGTGCCCTTCCCCAAACTGAATGGGACATAAAATAAAATATACATATTTGAGAGTAGGGTGAGTGACCGGACTCTCAGCGCCCATGTCTCCTCACCCATGCTCACATGCCCACCCCTACATAGCAGCCTACCCTCTAGATTTCCCCAAACCCTTCCCTGGCCCTTCCTTACCATGTCCACAGAGGAGCAGCAGGAGAGTGAGAGTGCTTAGAGTTGGGGGACTGCCGTGGGGGGACCCGGCGCTAGGGGATTGGCCTGACTCCCCCATAACTATCCAGCCAGGTTCCCCAGGCGCCCGGTTCTTCCCAGCTGATGACCCTCCTACCTAGTGAATTTTGACCGGAAGTCCTGTGACTGAAAAAAGAAATTTGGCTGGACATGGAGAGAGAGAAGAGTTGAAGATTGGTCAGGACAATGTGAAGCGAATCTGGGGAGATAAAGAAAAGGATGAGCAGACTGGAATTTGGGAGATTGGGGCTCCTCAAACTGTAAGTGTGGCAGCTAAGCCTCTTTGCCCTGTTCCTGTGGCCACTTTTAGGGCCCTTGTGCAATAGCCCTAGGTGGGGGTGGAGGGAAGGTTGAGTGAACTCAGGGGGGCAGAGTCCACTGTGTTGCTCCATCCTGAGCTACCAAACAGCAGGTATGTCAAAGATGGAGGAATCATGGGGATAGATCAGACACCAGTAATCCCAGTGGGTACGCTAATAAAATTAGGACCTGAAAATACTTCAGAAATATACTTCTTATTTGTCCTTCTCCATTGGGAGGAGATGCCTTCCAGGAGCCATACGTTTCTTTTTCATCTTTGTGTCAGAAGAACACAAGGAGTAAGGGTGGCATACCCATCCCCTCCAGAACATCAATATTCAAACGAAAAGGAACCAATCTCTTTCATCAGCTCTAGAGAGCTGCAATTTTAATCCTCCTCTCTCATGGAATAATGGGATGCAAACCAAACACGCAAATTAATATTTGTTTTTTTCTAAGTCAGCCGTTCTTGTATTTTCCCAAATTTCACTGAAGAATCTCTCTATTAATCTCTCCTTTTCAAATTCTGAAGTTCTGGGTCTTTTCATGAGAACAGGGGTTAGGGAGGAGCTGAATCCCTTCTGCCTAACTCGCCTGTCCTGTGGGTGAGGATATGATTGGGGGAACAGTCCTGCAAGAGGGAGAATAGAATGGAGGGATCAGGGTTGAAGGGAGAAATCATTTACAAGGAGCAGCCCCCACCCTTGGAATCTCAATGCAAAGGGCATTGCTAAGTGGGGACATGATAGAAGTGTGTCAGTGACTCATCATCCGAGGTCATACTTGGCCCTGGTAAGAAAACGACAGAATCGAGGGTGTGGGGAACTCCTAAAACTTCATCAGAAGTCTTGAGGTAATAAGGTAAAGAGAGGGCTAAGACTGCCAGAGGAGAGACAGAGAATTAAACTTCAAATGGCTAGGCCAGAGGAAATGAGACAGAAGGAGAAATGGTGATTGGGGCACCTTGGTAGGAAGAGATCCCAGCATTTGGACAAGGGACATCCTAGTAGGTGTTTGTAATTTTATAACAGTCTAACTTCAATATAAAAGCTTATTAACGGAATTGCAATTTCATTTTGACTTACTGTTTCCAGAGGCCAAACATTACGCTGCTATCCAGTTCTCCAGCCGTGATTGCCTACTCTGTGGGTCAGCTCCAGCCGGGGGGTCCTCTGTCTCTTTTTCCATGTCTCCCTCAGGTCCCCAGGCCGGCTGCTGTCTCACTGAGGTCAGGGAGCCAGAGAAGGTTTGGTGTTGGGGGAAGGGGGAGTATATGGCTGGCCAGAGTGCTGGACAGCTGAGCAGGGTGGGAGGTGGCTACTGAGTTGACGGTTTTAAAAATAGCTAAGTCCAAAATTCCAGGAACGTTGGTGGGGGTAGGGTGTGGGAGCGGGAAGGGTAGGAGAATTAGAAAGAATATGGAGTATTGGGTGCCAAGTTGGGGAGGGAAGAGAAAAATATGACACAAGTTGGATATCCAGTTCCAGCTTGTGTGACTCTAGTCACCGCCTACTCCAGGCAGCCCTCCAGCATTCTCAATAATGATGAGCTCCTGGCCTTTAAAAATTACGATGGGCAAATGGATACCTTTCATTTACCATCTTCATCCCTGATACGATGAATATTAAATTTAGTTTCTACAGATAGTATCTAGGAGGTAGCTGACTTTAAATAAGATCCATAGCAGAGGTAGTTCACAGCCCCTCCCCGATCTTTGCAGAGTATTTCAGGAGGACAAAAAGAACCAGCTGTCCAGAGAAGAAATCTGAGCTGTGAGTTGCTTAGGATGAGGGCTTGTTCAGTCTATCCAGCTCAGACCGTTGCAGCTGTCTATCCTACCTACTCCATTTTCATTACTTCAGTTTGTACGGCAGTTCCTCTTCCCTCTCCCTCATCAATACACACAAAAATAAAAGCTCCTGAGTTGCTAGGAGAGAAGACTGACAAAGGCAAAGAGGTGAAGAAAAAATGGAAATAGAATTTTTAGAAGGGGAGGAAGAGTTGGAGAAACAGAAAAAGATTCAAAAAGATTTTCTTTCTGTAGAGTTTCCCTCCCTCCCTTCCCCCCTTCCTTCCTCTCTTTCTTTTGTGTCTTTTCTGTCTCACTATGTTGACCAGGCTGGTCTTGAACTCCTGACCTCAATCAATCCTTCCATCTTGGCCTCCCAGAGTGATGGGATTACACATGTAAACCACCATGCCTAGTCTCTGAAACATACTTCTGTAGAATAACATAATCTTGTGACTTTAAAATATTGCAAAATCCCAACACTTTGGGAGGCTGAGGCAGGAGGGCTGCTTGAGCCCAAGAGTTTGAGGATGCAGTGAGCTATGGTAGCACCACTGCATTCCAGCCTGGGCAACAGAGTGAGGCCCCCTGCCTTAAAAAAAATAATAAGATATTGCAACCAAGGGATTTAGCTGTGTCATGTTTTTGCAGCCATAGGCATATCTGAGATCATCAATCTTTTAGTACTTGCCAAATGAAATGTAAAAAGGACTAATTCCAAATAGTGTCACTGTATTAGGGCTCAATAGAGGGACAGAACTAATAGGATCTATCTCTGTCTCTCTATCTCCATGTCTGTATTTCTATCTACCTATCTATCTATCTATCTGCCTACATACCTATCATCTATCATCTATCTATCTAGATAGTTGGCTATAGATACATAGATATATCTACATCGAGATAGCTAGATATAGATATATATAAAGGGGAGTTTATTAAGTATTAACTTACATGATCTCAAGGTCCCACAGTTGGCTGTCCGCAAGCTTGAGGAGCAAGGAGAGCCAGTCTCAGTCTCAAAACAGAAGAACATGGAGTCTGATGTTTGAAGGCAGGAAGCGTCCAGCACGGGAGCAAGATGTAGGCTGGGAGGCCAGGCCAGTCTCTCCTTTCACATTTTTCTGCCTGCTTTGTATTCTAGCTGTGCTGGCAGCATCTTAGATTCTGCTCACCCAGGTTAAGGGTGTATCTCCCTTTTCTACCCACAGACTCAAATGTTGATCTCTTGGCAACACCCTCATGGGCACACTCAGGATCAATGCTTTGTATCCTCCAATCCAGTCAAGTTGACACTCAGTATTCACTATCACAGTCACTAAGGCATCTTTACCAGTTGGCTCTATTTGAATACAGAATCTAGAGGCCCACATGGCACTACTCTCAGGTATATGTATGACAAATACGTTTTTTTCTCTCAACCATTAGAGACCATATCACAAGCAGTTTCATTTCAGAAATGTAAAGTGCTTTTAACCAAACCATTCAAGTGACTTTAAAACATAATAATTTGATTTTGACAGCCCAAGTGGGATGTACTATAATGCCAAAAAAAAAAAAATGCAGAATATTTTAAAATAGTCATATTATGGTGATAGTGTTGGTGTTGTTATTCTGAGATTATTTTAGGTATATCATGAGATAAAACAAAGGATTAATAATGTTGGTGTCAGAAAGAAAAAAAAAAGAAAAGAAAATATTAAAAAAAAAATGTTGGTGTCAAAAAAAAATAATGTTGGTATCTCTGAGAACCAGAATTTTTACTGTGAAATAAAGAGATACGTATTTATGATTGATGAAGTTAAGATAAAACTCTGTAATTCTGAATTTAAATTGCAGATATAACTCTGAACTCATGGTGTATTTTATCCTTAAAAATTTCCTAGCTTTTCCCTGAAAAGGCTTGGAAATAATGATCGAGTAAAAATAAACACCTCTAGTATTCCATTGTGCTGTGCAAATACCATTTCTTGTTGAAAGGAGCCAGCCAACAACTCCTTGGAGAAATGGCCGATTTGGGGTTTGGGGCAGGTATTGTCCAAGATAAGCAAGGAAGCTTTCAAAGACTGAGGGTTGTAACCAAAGAACTCAGGAGCCATTTAGAATAGTTTCCATTGACCAAAGATGAAACAATTTGAGTATCAAAATGGATATTACATGCAGTGGATTGAAATTCACAAAATATGTTTAAATCTATGAATTCACAATGACGCTTAAAAAATACAAACTCATTGGTCATTGTTGGAGAATGCTGGCAGATCAACTCATTCTTTTTAAAACTGCTAGTGATTGGAAAGAAGTATTTATCCTGGTTTTCTTAATGCAGACTGTATCTCAAGATGACGGTGAAATTTCTCTTTGTAGAAGTATTCCAGTAATTAAGTGAAGAAGGGATAATACAATTAGAATATTAACATTTTGTAACTCCAAATGAATTAATGTGTGTAGGCAGTGATCCACAATGGCTGTGGCAGGGCACAGTGGCTCACACCTGTAATCCCAGCACTTCGGGAGGCTGAGTTGGGAGGATTGTTTAAGTCCAGGGGTTCGCAGCCAGCCTGGACAATATAGTAAAACCCCATCTGTATGGAAACAAAAATAGTGGCTGTCATTCATCAAAAAAGAGAGCCAAACATGTTTTCCTGATCATAGATAGCATACATAAGTCCACCTTACATGAAGTTGGACTTATGTATGCTACTAAAAACAAACAAACACACTTCAGTCTGAATCTGATTAAAGCTAATTACTAATTTGCAGGAAATATGGGAGACATTAAATGATACCTCAAAGGTGCAAATTGAGACTTTGCAAATACTGTACAGGACACATTACCTGGGTTCTTTTTTCTTTTGAGACAGGGTCTCCCTCTGTCACCCAGGCTAGAATGCAGTGGTGTGATCTCAGCTCACTGCAACCTCTGCCTCCCAGGTTCTAGTGATTCTCATGCCTCAGCCACCGAGTAGCTAGGATTACAGGCATGCGCCACCATGCTTAGCTAATTTTGTATTTTTAGTAGAGATAGGGTTTTGCCATGTTGGTCTGGCTGGTCTCGAGCTCCTGCCCTCAAGTGATCTGCCCACCTTGGCCTCCCAAAGTGCTGGGATTGTAAGTGTGAGCCACCATGCCCGGCAATATGTTCTTATATAAATATGTATAGATTACACACACACACACACACACACACACACACACCCCTTCACACAGTTGTTCCCAAGGCTGGAATGCAATGGCACAATCTTGGCTCACTGCAACCTCCGCCTCCTGGGTTCAAGCGATTCTCCTGCCTCAGGCTCCCGAGTAGCTGGGATTACGCGCATGCGCCACCACACCCAGCTAATTTTGTATTTTTAGTAGAGACAGGGTTTCTCCATGTTGGTCAGGTTGGTCTGGAACTCCTGAAGTCGTGATCCGCCTGCCTTGGCCTCCCAAAATGCTGGGATTACAGGTGTGAGCCACCGTTCCTGGCCTGCATTTTTAGTAGAGATGGAGTTTCACCATGTTGGCCAGGCTGGTCTTGAACTCCTGGCCTCAAGTTATCTGCCTGCTTCAGCCTCCCAAAATGCTGGGGTTACAGGTGTGGGCCACTGTGCCTGGTCCACACTGAGTACTTTCTACTGTTCTCTTTTAGTTCACTGATTCTTTCCTCAGGGGATAGCCTCATTACCACTCACTGAGTTTGGCTGAAAGTTCTGACTCTTTGTTAAGTTTCTTCTGATATCACCCCAACAGTAAAGGGGAGAGATAACTCCTAATAGACTTGCTGGTGGTGAACGTCTAGGCACCCCATTAAGTCTTTACTGGAGTAGAAGAGGACACGTCACAGTTTGTTTTTGTGGCATTTGGCTGGAATAGAGCAAATATTGTCTAAAATTTTTCTGTTTTGCTAGACTGCCTCATTCCTGATCCTTTGGCTGTGGAGAACAGGCTTTTGTTAGGGATTTTCTTGGCTGCTCCTATTGGCATTTCCAGGTTGCTGCTGCCTCAGCTCCAAGTATGGGGTATTTGGCAAAACGAGAGTCCACAGAAATCAGCATTGTGTCCTGCCTTTGCTTCTGGGGCTCCTAGCTGGTCTACCTCCTCTCCACATTTCAGTCTTCTTAGGGTTGTTTTATATGCGATGTCCAAGGAAGAGGAATAGGGGAGATCACATCTACTCCCTCCTCCCTGATCCATTCTCTTTTATTCACTTGCTTATTTGGTTTTCCACTACATTTTCCTCTCTTGAAGTGTTTTGTTGTTTGGAGACAGAGTCTTGCTTTGTTGCTAGGCTGGAGTGCAGTGGCCGGATGTCGGCTCACCCTATCCTCCACCTCCTGGGCTCAAGAGATTATCATGCCACAGCCTCCCAAGTAGCTGGGATTATAGGCATGAGCCACCACGCCCAGCCTACGTGTATTTTTATATTTTCAATACCTGCTCTGGCACATGATATGTAAATGTTTTTAAAAAGGAAAATAGGCCGGGCGTGGTGGCTCACACCTGTAACCCCAGCACTTTGGGAGGCTGAGACGGGCCGATCACCTGAGGTCAGGAGTTTAAGACCAGCCTGACCAACATAGCAAAACCCTGTCTCTACTAAAAATACAAAAATTAGGGCTGGGTACGGTGGCTTGTGCCTGTAATCCCAGCACTTTGGGAGGCCAAGGCGGGTGGATCACCTGAGGTTGGGAGTTTGAGACCATCCTGACCAACATGGAGAAACTCCATCTATACTGAAAATTCAAAATTAGCCAGGCATAGTAGCACATGCCTGTAATCCTGGCTACTCAGGAGGCTGAGGCAGGAGAACTGCTTGAACTCAGGAGGTGGAGGTTGTAGTGAGCCAAGATTGTGCCACTGCACTCCAGCCTTTGTGTGAGAGAGAAGTTCTGTCTCCAGGAAAAAAAAAAAAACAAAAAACCAAAAAACAAACAAACCACTACCACCACCAACAACAAAATTAGCCGGGCTGGTGGCATGCTCCTGAAGTCCCAGCTACTCAGGAGCCTGAGGCAGGAGAATCGCTTGAACTTGGGAAGCGGAAGTTGCAGTGAGCCGATTGAGCCCACTGCACTCCAGCCTGGGCGACAGAGCGAGACTCTGTCTGCAAAAAAAAAGGAAAAATAGAACTGAATGAAGTGAATGAATCACACTGCTTCCTCATCCACCTTAATGTATGTAGTGCTGGAAAGAGGAGGATGCTTAATCCTGTTTTCGTGCTTTGAAGAGATTCCTACTGATGCTTTGATATCGAGAAAGGTGGCTAGCTCCCTCCCAAAGCTCATATTGTCCTTCCTTGGTTCTCTCTCACAAAAACTTACCAGCAGGTGGCAGAATAATTGATGAAAAGTACTGTTGTCCAAAACAGGAGGCTGATTTCCTCTGAGACGTAGAACCTCGTAGTCACCCTGGGTAAGATCCCGAGATGTTGTTCTGAAGATTAGATGCTTTTTGTTTTTCAGCTTTGGGCCACAGGTAGCTGTCCAGTGAAAACAGCCAGAGTGAAAGGAAGAGAGGGGTCTGTTAGTTTCCTTGGTGTCATGACAACAGGACTCTTGTCTTTGGTCCCAAATGTCCAGCATTTAGTGAACTCATCTTACTAATTTGTAGGATTTAAACCCATAGAAAGGTGGAAACTGAATAAGTGGAAGACTTAAACAACGTTTAAATCTTGAATAACGATTCTTAAACACCGTTTTAACATTGATACTTAAAAAGCAAAACAAGACAAGGTTCGGTGGCTTATGCCTGTAATCCCAGCACTTTGGGAGGCCGAGGTGGGAGGACTGCTTGAGCCCAGGAGTTTGGGACCAGCCTGGGCAATATAGTGAGGCCTAGTGTCTCCACCATCACACACACAAAACTAGTTGGGTGTGGTGGCCAGAACCTGTATCCCAGTCACTCATGAGGCTGAGGTAGGAGCTTACCACTGCACTACAGTCTGGGCAACAAAGTTGGACTGTGTCTCAAAACAACAACGAGAATCTCCCCAAACTTCATATCTCACCATCCATATTTTTTTCTGTCAGGCCCTGCTGATATACACACATCATTGATGTATATATGTATTTCATTGATGAAATTCAGTCTTTCAATTTTTAAATTCATTATCAAAAGTATTTTTTGATGTAAGAGTGTGTTTAGGGCAGGTGTGGTTGCTTTTTTTTTTCTCTTTCTTTCTTTTTTTTTTTTTATTACCTCCAGTAATGGCTATAAGCATGTGGGGTTGCTTTTAAAAATTTCTGCTTGAGGCTGTGCACCGTGACTCACGCCTGTAATCCCGGCTCTTTGGGAGAGGCCAAGGCGAGTGAATCATGAGGTCAGGAGTTTGAGACTAGCCTGGCCATCATGGTGAAACCCTGTAGCTACTAAAATTACAAAAATTAGCCAGGTGTGGTGGCACGTGCCTGTAATCCCAGCTGCTCAGGAGGCTGAGGCAGGAGAATCACTTAAACCCAGGAGGCAGAGGTTGTGGTGAGCTGAGATGGCGCTATTGCACTGCAGCCTGGGCAACAGAGCGAGACGCCGTCTCAAAAAAAAAAAAAAAAAAAAAAAAAAGAAAAGAAAAAATTCCTGCTTGAACTCATCGGCACAGAATTAATCACTTGGGGTCATCTGACCAAAAAAGACCTGAGGGGAGGCTTTTGCTTGTTTCATTTTTTTCTCAACCTTTTATTTTTTTAAACTTCAAGCTTACAGAAAAGCTGAAAGTACAATATAGTGAATACAATTCACTAACATTTTTCTTTCTTTTCTTTCTTTTTGTATTTTTGGTACAGACAGGGTTTCACCCTGTTGCCTAGACTGCTTTCAAACTCCTGAGCTCAAAACAATCCACCTGCCTCAGCCTCGCAAAGCGCTGAGATTACACGCTTGAGCCACCGTATCCAGCCCGCATTTGCTTTCTTTTCTTGATCATAAAGTAATTTGCAACACACTAATGCATGCACCTCAATTTTCTTTCTCTTCACTACCTCTTTTTTTTCCCCCGTAATTTTTATTTTTATTTTTTTTCGAGACGGAGTTTTGGTATTGTTGCCAAGGCTGGAGTGAAATGGCTCGATCTTGGCTCACTGCAACCTCCGCCTTCTGGGGTCAAGCGATTCTCCTGCCTCAGCCTCCGAGTAGCTGAGAGTACAGGCTGGCGCCACCACAGAGGGCTAATTTGTATTTTTAGTAGAGACAGGGTTTCACTATGTTGGCCAGGCTAGTCTTGAACTACTCAGGCGATCCACACGCCTCAGACTCCCAAAGTGCCGAAAAATTGGATGAGCTTCTCTTAGTCTTCTGCTAGTGAGTTAAGTTCAGATCCTGCTGAGCACCAAATACCTGTAGGCTGTGATTCACCTGTCTATCATATTTGTTTTAATAGTTTGGTCTACATTCACACAACATGAAAAAAAAGGTAGAGTGGCCCAGGGTCTCCTGATGTTACTCACATGATGTCTTCTGTATTCCTTAAGGAAATGTTCTAGCTGTTTTTGGCAAAGATGCAGCTGAGTCTCCACCTTTCTACTGATCACAGTTCGGGAAATCACTGCAACTACAAGGAGGTGAGCTTTTCTCTATCTCTTCCTCTTCCCTCTGGACATTCGTCTCTGGTCTTGGGGACTGTAATCATGTGTATGCGATGTTCCCTCAGCTCTGAGAGCCAGGCTGGAGAATTCTTTCACAATGTTTTCTACTCCAGGAAAGAAGTACCAGGAAGAAGTCCCAACAAAGGAAAGGCCGAGTATTCAAGAAACTGAGGATCTAGGCAGTGAAAAATAATATGAAAAAGAATAAGTGGAAATAAACATTTAGTTAGAATCATATAATTTTTTTTTCTTTGAGGAAGGGTCTGGCCCTGTCATCAAGCTGGAGTGCAGTGGCACCAAAACAGCTCACTGCACTCTTGCCTACTGGGTTTAAGAGATTGGGCCTCCCAAGTAGGTGGAACTACAGGCACAGGCCACCACACCTGGCTAATGTTTTTGTACTTTTGGTAGAGACAGGGTTTTGCCACATTACCCAGGCTGGTCTCAAACTCCTGGGCTCAAGCAATCTGGCCACTTTGGCCTCTCAAGGTATAGGGATTACAATCATGAACCACTGCACCTCCTAGAATCATGCAGTCTTAACAGGGACTTGTCAGTAACTTCCCTGGTGGTCTAGTGGTTAGGATTCGGCGCTCTCACCGCCGCGGCCCGGGTTCGATTCCCGGTCAGGGAATGAGTTCTATTTTGTTCTGCTTTCTCTTAGGATCTTTTAAACAAACATTGTTATCTGTTAGTCAGTCTCCCCATCCCACTGAAAACTGAAATACAGAAGATGTGGAAAAACACAGATAAAGAAATTGCTCACAATTCTGTCACCCAAAGGCCACTCTTAATATGTAGGTTTTGAAACAAAGTGGAAGTATGCTATACATGCTGTTTTATCACCAGCTATTTTTGTTGTTGTTGAGACCGAGTTTCGCTCTTGTTGCCCAGGCTGGAGTGTAATGGCACGGCCTTGGCTTCCTGTAACCTCTGCCTCCTGGTTTCAAGCAATTCTCCTGCCTCAGCCTCCCAAGTGGCTCGGATTACAGGCATGTGCTACCACGCCCTTCTAATTTTGTATTTTTAGTAGAGACGGGTTTTTACTATGGTAGTCAGGTCAGTCTCAAACTCCTGACCTCAGGTGGTCCACCTGCCTCTGCCTTCTAAAGTGCTAGGGTTACAGGCATGAGCCACCACGCTTGGCCAACACCAGCTATTTTTAAGGTTAACAATATATTTCTAACACTTTGCAGTGGAAATTATCCTTCAGTAACATTTTCTTTCAATTCAGTTATTGAATTTTCCAAAAGGTAATATATTTACATGATTTAGGATTCAAATATGCAAAAGGTTAGAACTGATAAAGGTGACTTCACCTTTACCATCTATTTTCCCTCTAATGAGGTAACCACTGTTGTTTTTTAATTATAATGTCAGAGATGTTTTATGCAAATGTAAGTACATGCATATATAAATACGTATATATAAACATTCTCTCCCGCTTGTACAAATGGAAGTAATCTATACACACTTTCTGCACTTTGCCTTTTTCATTTAACAGTATATTTTAGAAATACTTACAGATTAGACATGAAGAACTTCCTCATTCTTTCTTCTGGCACCTGGCATTCTTTGTATGAGTTTTACATAATTAGTTTAGCCAGCTTCTTTCTGTAGATATGTAGGTTATTTCTAGCCCTTTGCTACTAGAAAAAAAAAATGCTGTCATGAATGGTCCTGTACATATGTAATTTTGCGCATGTGTGGAATAAATGCCCAGGAATTGGAATGGTGGTTCAAAAGGTATGTGCTTTAATTCGGCCATTGGATTTCAGAGGCTCCCTTCAAATGATGGTAGAAGAAACTAGAATTGACTTTTCTTAAACCTGTGAAACAAGATACTACTACAGAATTGTCAATAGGAGAAATTCTAGAGAGTTTCCTTTTATTTCCCTCCTGTGGGTTTTTCCTGTAGTCTAAATCTCTCTTGGTGTAGAAATAAACGGAAAGCCAAAAGCTGACTATGTAGTTCTTTTTTTTTTTTCCCCTTCTTTTCTAGACTGCTCAGCAGGAGACTACGTAGTTGTCATAAGTCAATAAAGCAAGCTGGTTTTTAGATGCGTTGGTGGTATAGTGGTGAGCATAGCTGCCTTCCAAGCAGTTGACCCGGGTTCGATTCCCGGCCAACGCAGCATAGCGTTTTCTTCCCAGTTTTTGACAGAGTAGGCCTGGAAACCGAGCAAAGCAGAGAACAAAGGCTGAAATATATTTCAGGACACTTTTGTGTCTTGAGTCTCCTGCACCAGTATGGTCTATCCCTACCATAGCAAACATTCGTATTTTGGTAACTGCACCTGCGAGCCAAGCCCTTCTGATGGGTGCCGTCGCTGGCGTTTCATGAGTTAACAGTAACTGTTAAGTGTCTGAAATAGAGGCTGTTGGGGTTTGTTTTTCTGAATCTGAGGAGGTGGCTCTGATATACTGGAGTCAAGATGAGGAAGTCAGCACAGGCGCCGACAATGCCATGGAGAGTACACAGCGCTTCTTGTACTTGGGAGGAAAGCAAGAAATTAGGACCGGGCTCTCATCCCCTCCCCAGCTCACTAGCTCCGTTTTTCTTCCGGTTCCACTATTCTGGGAAAAGAAACCTCAATTCCATGGCACAGGTTGCAGATGTAATCTGGAAAATCCTTCAAGCCTGCCTCTCGCATCCCTGGGCGAAGCGGCTTGATTCTTTGGAGGGGGAAGAGGCGAGGGGCGAGGCGCGAGGCTAAGTGGTCCCTGGTCCCGGGTTGCAGCGGACGCTTTCTGCCCTCTAGTCAGGACCTGGGCGCGCCGCCCCCCGGCGGAGCGGGTGGTGCTACCGCTGGCATTGAGGGATTTAGAGTCTAAGAACCCGATTCGGGTGTCGGAGCTTCGAGGTTGCAGAGTGGAAAAGTTTGGAATTCTAATTGACGTGGACCTCACGGACTGGTCAAATAAAAGCATCACGAAGCAGCCACTCCTATTTCAAGAGGCAGTAAATTCAGCTGTAGTGCGCTGCCTTGCCGGTGGCTCGCCGTGATCGTATAGTGGTTAGTACTCTGCGTTGTGGCCGCAGCAACCTCGGTTCGAATCCGAGTCACGGCATGTGATTGTAACTTGGTTAGGTGGCCTTCTTTTGCTTTATTTTACATTATTTTTTAATTAACACTTTTAACAAGCTTGCAATTCTGCCTTTGCTTACGGCATTCCCGCGGAGTGCAGTCAGCAAATTCGGTGAATAACAATAGGTCCAGGCCTGAGTGGTGGCTCGCTCTTGTAATCCCAGCAGCTTTGGTAAATGGAGGCGGGAGAATCTCTGGAGCCCAGGAGTTTGCGACCAGCCTGAGAAGCCTCCCCACACCCTTAGGAAAAAAAAAATTCTAAGATGGTGGCGGGCCCTTTTGGTCCCAGCTACTCAGGGAGGCGGAGGTGGGAGCATCGCTTGAATCCGGGAAGTGGAGGCTACAGTTAACTATGATCGTGCCACTGCACTCCAGCCTGGGCAACGCAGCGGGACCCTCTCTCAAACAACAGTAGTTCCAATTGGCTCTCACTGCGGCTTGTCCACCAAGACGCTAAGCAGCGCAGGCGGGACGCTTCAGAGCCGTATGGAGGTCCACGGAGCTGGGACCACGGCCTTCACTTGAGCAGAGGAAAGAACCCTTCCCTGGTAACGCTGGAACTCAATGCCTCTTCCAGGATGGAGAACTAAAAAGCTTTGCAGAGAGGTCTTTGCGCATCTTATCTGAATCTCCTCTGCAGTCGGTGAGGAGGTTCCCTCCATAGAAGGAATCTGCGGAAACACTGAGGTTTCGGGAAGGACTCGTGATTCCCGACTCCTCTGCGAGCCTTCCTGGCTCTCTGCAGTCCCCATCGCTCTCTAAACCTTGGGTTCCTCTGTGGCAGAAAGCTATTATGAAAAGATTATTGCTGTGTCCACCAATCCTAGATCCTGAAACTGCTTTCACACAAAATAATATGCAAGTAGATCATACCCCTTGTCTATTAGAGGAAAATGGTTTCATATAGGAAGAGCTGTATAGCCAGTGCCCGGCTAGCTCAGTCGGTAGAGCATGAGACTCTTAATCTCAGGGTCGTGGGTTCGAGCCCCACGTTGGGCGCTGCGTTTTTATTTAACCCTCTCAAGAACTTCTCATAGGAACAAGAGCTTGTAAATCGCCACGGCGGCTACTGTCCTTTTAAACATTGGTAACTGATTCCACAAATCATCTCCATTCACCCCAAATTCATCAAGAGGAATCAGGGGATTCCAGTGTCTGTAATGACCAGGTGTTTCTAATCCACGATGGGTTTCTCAACTGGGCGAAGGCAGACAAGCCGAGCTTCGGAGAGTCGGAAACCGCTCCGACACTACTTCAGGGAGAACAGCCTTAGGACGGATCCAGATGGAAATACTTGTTCTCTTGTTTCTCTTTTGAATGAGGTTTTGAAGGGGCTTCTTAGCGAGCTCAAATGTTCTCAGCTAGGTGCTAAGGAGCATCTGTTTGCTTTTCAGGTTTTGAAGCCTTCATCAGCCACAAAGAAGGTCAGGAAAAAGAGGACGTGACTGTAGAACAGAAGTTGAGGAGGTGGAGGGGAGAAGCTGAAGAGCAAAGAAAAGGAGGAGCAGAGACGAACGGGTAGGGCCGAGGGTGGGGAGGTAGAGAGTTTACAGCTGCAGTCTTACTTGAGTACCGGCTGCCACTCCAGAGTGCTATGCCCACTACCTTGAATTAGTTATTGATCCACTGGAGAACTTTGTTCTGTCCCTGAAAGCCTGGAGTTGTTTGTCTTACATTTGTTCCTGCTAAATTATCTTTAACTGTTGGTTTGGCTGGTGTGGGTTAAGTTGGTTTGCCAGGTGGGGTGGAAGCCAAGATTGGCACCATTCAAGAGATTTCCCCACAGCAATGTGGAATGTGGACATTCCTTTTTTTTTTTTAAAGAGACAGAGTTTCACTGTCACCTGGAGTGCAGTGGCGCAATCTTGGCCCCCTACAACCTCT